CCCCAGCGGATCCAAGGGGGGGCGATGATTGCCCCATCCAGGGTAGAGCTTGAAATGTCGTTTCGTGTTCCCTTGGGTTCTCCTTTGGGGTCTCCCTTGGGTTCTCCCTTGGGGCGTCCTTGGGGCCCTCTAAGGCCGCTTTGGAGGCCTCTTGGGCCGTCTTGAAGCCCTCTTGGGCCGTCTTGGAGCCCGCTGGGGGGCCCCTCGGGCAGCCGTTGGGCGATCCTGGAGGCCTCAAGCATGAAATTTATGCATTATGCCTTCGGGGGTCTTCCAGGGAGTGCTCTTGGAGGGCTCTTGGGCCGTTTGGGGGCCATCTTGGGCGTCTTGGAGCGATCTTGTGGTGTCCCGGACGGCTCTCGGACCACTTTGGGGGCCTCCTGGGGACTCCACGGGGGGCCCCGAGGGCGGCGCCCAGGAGCAAAGCCATTTCTGATCGGACCTTGCCAGGGTGCACGTCGGCCGGGGACCTCCTGGGGCGGCCCCGCACGCGCGAATTAGAAAACTCTGAACCAGTCACCGGAGGTCTTCACGCGCCTCTGGCTCATGGGGGAAGTAAAGGTGGTTTCTTGGATCGTCGCGGGACCCCCTGGTGGAGTCTCCAGCGCCGCCCCTGGCGCGCTCCGGGGGATCCAGCGCCGATCGATCCAAGATGTCAGCTTTTGGATCTCCGAAAGATTCTTAGTTTACGTAATTGTTTGTTCCTCGACCAGCTGATGGAGGGTTTCTTGCCTCGGGATGTGTTTCGACAGCTTCGCCTCGCCGAGAGTCATCCAGGGTTGTCCGATCGTCCCGACCGGCCGCCAGAACCGAGCAAAGACGTGAAACCCAGAGGACGAGGATCAGTCGGGGGCGGCTAGGCTCGGGGTTGGGCGCATCGACCCCCAATCGCTAATTCATCGCCGATGTGGGCCCGATGTTGGCCCCGCCCCGCCCACGACCGCGCGGTTTCGCTACCAGGGGCCTGTCGCCGATCTATCGGCCATGTCAGGGCGGTGTTTCTCCCCCTGAGCCGGTCCCCCCCTAACGTTCTTTCTCACTCACCCTCGCTGGAATGAAAACAAGCGAGGAGCAAGAGGAGGGAGGTGGTAGGAGGAGGCGGGACGAGGATCGATGAGGAAGACTGAGGACGAGGAGGAGGAAGAGAAGGGAGGAGGGAGAAGGTGGTCACTCTCGACCACCCTCGATCACCATCGCCCGCCCTCGACCGCCGATGTCATTTGCACGCGGCTCCTCCCGTAGCAGCACAACAAAAGCCACAACAGCTACACGAGTGCTAGAACGCACATGACAATTCTAGAATTGCTACGTGCATTCTTGAAGCGCAGACCGTTGTAGAACGCAAAGACACATGTCTTTCACTCCGTTTCGCACTACATGTGAAGCTTACGTAGCACCCGGATAAGAGTGAGGGGGGTAGGGACGTCGGCATTTTGCGAGACTCTGGAGAAGCCCGCCGCAGGCGCCAGAGCTTCACAAGTTATACAACGAGCCCGCCGCAGGCGCCGATTTTTCGTTAAACCAATATGTAGGTCGCGGGTGGGTCGCAAATTGGTCGCGGGTGGGTCGCGGGTGTAGATGGCAGAAAGTCCACCCCAGAATAACCACCCCGACAAGCGAAGCCGTTTAGTAAGCACACAAGGAATGGGTCGAACAGGGCAGGGCTGTTGAGTCAACGCCCAGGGCCGTTTCGTAAACGTCAATTCTCGGGTTCGGGTGGGTTTTCCTCCCTGGAGGGTGGGTCGTGGGGTGGGTCGCGGGTGGGTCGCGGGGTGGGTCGCGGGTGGGTCGCGGATGGGTCGCGGATGGGTCGCGGGGTGGGTCGCAGGGTGGGTCGCGCTGTGGTTCGCGGATGGGTCGCGGGTGGGTCACGGGTCGGTCGCGGGGTGGGTCGCAGGGTGGGTCGCGGGGTGGGTCGCGGGTGGGTCGCGGGTGGGTCGCGGGGTGAGTCGCGGGTGGGTCGCGGGGTGGGTCGCGGGTGGGTCGCGGGTGGGACGACGACAAGCAACAACAACAGCAACAACAACAACAATTATTCTAAGATTGTTCGCTCCTATTTGCCCGTGTCATTCAAAACGAGTTCCCCACACCCTCGATACCCGCCCTTTGTCTTCGATCACACCCCCTTTGGGGGGATTCTTTCTCTTTGCGGGGGGCGGTTGGCTTAGACAGGCGGGCGAACCTGAACGGGTGGACGTTCCTTCGTGGGCGTACATGTGTCCGCCATTCGAATTGGTGTGGGCCCTGCAAAAAGAGGAGGGGGAGAACGAGGGAGAGCGGGAGGAGGGGAGGGGGAGGGATGAAGGAAGAGGGAACACGCCAGGAGAGAAGGAGCGAAGAGGGGGGCTGTTGATTGGAGGCAAAGAGAGAGAGAGAGAGAGAGAGAGAGAGAGAGAGAGAGAGCACAAGACAGATAAGAGAGGTAGAGAATGAGAGAGAGGGGGGGAATAGAGAGAGAGAGTGTGAGAAAGAGGGAGGGAGGAGGCAGGAAAGGGGAGGGAGAAGGGAGGAGGGAGAGGAAGGAGAGGGGATAGGGCATAGGGCAGAGAGGCATACTGAGAGGAAAGAGAGGAGGGAGAGAAAAGGGAGGATAGGAGGGAGGAGGAGGAGGGAGAGGAAGGAGGAGCAGGAAGGTAAAAGCGTGAACGTCCGAGGAAGTCCTAGGCGAAAGCGTCGTTCCTGAAGGACGTCTCGAGCGGGAGCCCACGACGGGCGGGCAACCCCTTGACGGGTGGGTCGGGCGGGTGGGACATTCAAGCGGGATGCTTGAGTATGGCGAGAGCGCGATTTATTCATAAATTGTAGCGGCGTCCTTGGCGCAGCGTGTTTCCTGAGCGTCGAAAGCGCGATTTCTGAATATATTGCGTGGAAGTCACAGGCGAGAGCGCAATTCTTGAATAATATGTGAGGGGTTCTCTGGTGGGAGCGGGGGTCTTGATTAAGTTGCGAGGAAGTCTTGATTCAATGCGAGGAAGTCTCAAGCGGGAGCGCCGTTCCTTAGTAAATTGTGAGGAAGTCTCAGATGGGAGCGGGGGTCCAGACTAACTTGCGACAAAGTCACAATCGGGAGCACCGATCTTGAGTACATTGTGAGGAGGTCTCAGGAGCGGGGGTCATGAGTACATGTGGAGGAAGTCTCAGGCGGGAGCCGTTGTTGTTGTAATCCGGGGGGCCAGGGGCCCAGTTTGAGCACGAAGACTTCCCCTATCAAATAACAGGGTGCGAGCGTCGCGGGGCACACTTTGATTGAGAAAACAACGGCAAGCACTGGTGAGCGGGGATCAACAAAAATTAGTCTTCAGAAGTGAGAGTACAACAACAACAAGCATAATTTCCACCACGAATTCCTTATTCAGCCACGCACCCAGGGACAATGAATGACGGGTCGGCCCCCTCATTCTGACCTAGTTCTAGAACGCCAAAGCGAATACGATGACAAACCAATTAGACAGTAAGCACGATTCGAAAGTTCAGGATGCACATGTCGGTCGATTTGCGCGTGCTTGTTCAGTCGCGTGTTCGTTCTTTGTTGGGCGCCAGCCACGTGCGGATGACTCCGCAAGATCGACCCCGGTCCATAGGAAGGGCGTTTACTGCTACGAAAACGCTTCGTCAGTTATCCCGATGAGGACGCGCCGCACTTGCATCGCAGTGGAAGACCGACGCTGCGCGTACGCATGCCGATGCATTACATGCGCTTCGCCTTGCAAGTTTCCAGACCAGTCGGCGAGTGGGTTGTGGAGGTGCGAGCGCCCATGTGGATTCCACTCGTAAGCCCTGAGCTCGAGCGGAGGGATGTCAGCTGCCCAGGTATCAGACGAAATTTTATTTTGATTCCGGCTTCAATTTGCCGTTTCTGGACGCAGTTTTTTCATTCACTGGCGATGACGGGCGTGACCAGGGGGGTCACGATCCGCGCCAGCGGCGCCGGTGCGAATCGTGACGTAGCCAAAAGGGCGGGGGGGGGGCGGGGACGCTGCGAAACATAACAACGGGTTTTTGATGGTAGCACGGTGATTGTAGAAACTGCTCAGGGGGCCTCCGCTGGTGACAGGGAGTTGAGGTTTTGGAATGGACCAAACATTTTGGGCCCAACCCTGGGATATACGACGGGGGGGGCGTCCGCCCTCCAAAAGGGTGCTCCCAAATGGCCCCTCTGGGGGTGCGTCCCAGGGTATCATCCCTTTGTTCCTGAGCGGCCAAACCCTTCGGGTGGAATCCAAAGATGGGGGGGATAATGATCCCCGGCGAGCTGGTGCCCCATCGGGGGAGGGGCGGGGGGATGGGGGGGGGCGGGGGGATGGCGGGGCGCGGCGCTCGGCGCCCCATCCGTCGCGCAGAGCGTTGAGCCGGGCGACGCGGAGTGGGCGCGGGGCTGGCGCGGGGAAGCCGCGGCGAGTTGGCCAGAGCTTCGCGGGGAACCCCGCCTTTGTGACGATCCGGGGCCCGCCTCGTCGGAAATTGGAACATCTAAATTACCAGTGGTGGGCTGCTCTTCAATCCCTGGACTTTTTGGGGGTCGCGGGCGACGTCGGGGTGGTGTTGGTGCTCCGTTTCATGGGGAAGCACATAACACGTAGTTACGCTAGGATTCCGCATGCACCAGGATCCGCGACGACTCTTGGAGACCTGACGAACGCGAACAAATCAGAGACACAACACACAAAAGCATCCCTGGTGCCCAGCCAGGGGGTTGGGGGGGGCACAGCTGGGACCCCATGTAGGAGGAACCTGTTAGTGATGAGGCCCCCAAGCCCCAGAGATATGCCGAGATCGCTAAACCAGGTCAGCCAGTGGGGGAGGGGCGTCCCCTGGCACATCTCACCAAACCAGGTCCCATTTAATCCCAGTCTTTCCAGCGCCCGAGCGACGAGGGCGAACAGATCAAGCAAAAAGCATGGCACGAAAAACTTCCGCCGCTGCTCAGCACGGGGGGGGTGGCGGGGGTCGCACGCAGCGCGCGGCGCCCCCCCCCCCCCCCGCTGCGCGCAGAGCGTCAGGCAGGCGACGCGGGGTGGACGCGGGGCTGGCGCGAGGAGGCCGCGGCCGCTGCCGCGGCCCGCCTGCGCCTGGAGGCCCCCGACAAGCCGGCGCCTCGGCCAGCCCAGCCATTCGCAGGCAAGCAGTGGCGAGGCGTCTTGGCTTGCCGATAGGCCCACCAGATAACCATTTGTGGTCTGCAGGACGTGTTCTTCCAGCATGTATGGCTGAAGCTGCCTTGTTCTAGCACGTCGTGCTGATGCTCCAAGAGCATCGCTGTTGTTCTGAGGGCCATTTTGTGGTAGGCCTATAGGAATGCCGGGACGGTCGGTCCCTGCTCAATGTGGGCTTCCCAGGTGAGCGACGGAACAACAACGGGGTCGTTTTCGCCATTGGCGCATAAGCGGCACGGCGTAAGGTTGCTCGTAAGTGCCCTCGCTTCCACTGTGGCGTGCTGCGCCGGCGGCCGGCGTAAGCCGCGGCGTAAGGTCGCTACGTCATTTCGCGTACGAGTCCTGTTTCGGATCGTCGCTCAGGTGGGGTCGGAGCAGATGGGGTCGGAGGGTCGCCGTGCCGCATCGGACGATGCGGCTCGATGGGGAGCCCTGATTATCTTCTCAACGCCGTCGGCGCCGATGCATCGCCGACGTCGCCGATACATCGCCGATGCATCGGGGATGCATATGCGACGCATTGGCGATGCGGCGCTCACCTCCGACCTCATCTGGGAGGCCACTATACAGAGAGTGAGGGTATGGGGTGCGTGTCGGTAATAGCCAGGGCCAAGGGTAAGAGGAACCGGTTAGCGATTCGGCCCCGAGGCCCTGAAAATTGGCCAGATTCGCTAAGTCAATTCTGTTGTAGGTAGTGCTTCGTCCGGTGGCGGCAGTTGAGGTCTTCGTCCGCCCACAGCTTTCCCCACCAAGTGGCTCTTGATCATGAACGGCCGAAAAACTGTTTTCCCCGGTGTAGTTTTTTGTTCGGGATCCATTGTTGATGATGTTGGGGTCCGAGGGGGGCCCTAGAGGCCGAGTCCGAAGGCACACATATCATCATCATCATCATCATCATCATCATCATCATCATCATCATCATCATCATCATCATCATCATCATCATCATCATCATCATCATCATCGTCATCATCATCATCATTATCATCATCATCATCATCATCATCATCATCATCATCATCATCATCATTTTTGAGGCCAGGCGGGGGAAAACGGACAAGGGGTAGACCAGGAAAACGGACAAGGGGAAGACCGCGGCCATTTTCGAGGCTCAGGCCGAGGTTTGGGGCACACGCGCTTATCCCAATTCCACGGGGCGTCCGAGCTGAGCTTCAAAGACAGTGCAGGCAAGCAGGGAGGCCATGGGTGGCCTTGCATGCGCTCGCAGGTAGAAATCTTCGATTGGTGGCGAGGACCGGTACTGTTTCGTGCTTTGGCCGTCACTAGTTCATCACCTTCATATATTACATACGCTACATATCCATCTTCGGCGTCTCGCTGGGACCCCTGTGCTTCGTGAAGTGGATCTTAATAATCATAGGTTGCCAGTCCGAGGTGCCGAATTACACGTTTTTCATCGGTGACTGACCATGCCCGTTCATGTGAACTGGCTGCGCCCGTCTTTTGCAGAAGAGTGGGCTCGCCAGCAAGTGAGCCCGTGGCAGTCTCTGTTGCTTCGGCCCACCCTCCCCTCTCTCACACAAATCTGTCCGTGGCTGCATTGTTGCGCCTTGCGTTCAGACGCAGTCTCTGTGCGAAGCAATGTATTTCTGTTTGGAGGGATTCGCTCCCAGTCACGTGAGAGTTGGCAGTGTCACAGAAATTCGCCAGCAGATGGTAGCCCTTGGCTCGGCAGCGTACGGGGCAGCGCAGCTCCGGCATGCCTTGGCCTCCCCGAAACTCCCCAGATGGGCCCTGCGCGTGTGAAGTGCTCTGCCACACATCGTTCGTGACGGCCTAATTGGGCCCGACGCTAAGTGGGTTCTGTTCGTCCAAGCGCTCATTCTCCAGCCGTCTATGCAGGGGTCATGTGTTTATGCGTTGTATGCACACAGTGGCATGTACATAGGCAAGGCCAACGTATCGAGAGTTGGCCTAACGTCAGGTGTTGCCGCTCGATGCTGTGAGCACTACCGTGCATTCGTGTGTATGGCAGATCGTGATGCATCACTTCCGCGATATTCCCATATTCGTAGAGCACTGGGGAGTGTCGCGCTCATGCCATTCAATTGGGTTCAGTCGGAGTCCCGAGGCCTCGCAATCGAAAGTGCCCTCATTCGCATGTTGGCACCCAGGTGTAATGGTGCGGACCTCGAGGCGCTCCGAGCTAAGCGCGCCGTTGGTGTCACCCTTCGTCCAGACAAAGCGTCGAAGCCTCGCATGCGTTTGATCCCTCGCTTCCGCCGTCATCGAGGGAAGTTTGTCTGGGAATCCACTGCCTTTGCCGAGCTAGTTGGTCCTTTTCCAAAGGCGAAAAAAGAACTCATGACAGTGTTGCATCGGATGAAGGGCCCTTTTAATGCACTCAATCGGTTTCATCAGCAATGCCACTTGCTACGATCAGGGCAGGAGGGCCCAATTAACATTCTCAATCTGTGCTCCGAGGTCTTGCATCTCAGGCTAGCGTATTGTGCATCGTATCGTCCTTGTGTGAAGTTCCCTGCATCTTGGCACGTGTGGCGCATTGCTTCGCACGTGTACAGCGCAGCAGCATGCGTCAAGGATGCTTTGCCAGGTGTCGCAGCGCAAGTGTCTGCCACAGCTTATCTTAATCGAGTGGCGAGGGCATTCCAGCTCCCTCCTGTCACCGTCTCTCCTCTCGTAGTGCTTCGTGCCATCTGTAACCGCATGCATATTCCGCGTCGCGTTGCGTTCCGATCTCTCGAGAGTGTCCGCCGTTGCCCTGCCCGGCGTCGGTTGCAGAAGCGCTTGCGAATCTTGCCGGCTATGGAAAGGTCGTGGGCGGATCGTTTCAATGCCAAGCGTGTTTTGCGCGAAGTTGATAAGAATCAGTTCCTTGGTTTACCATCGGCAGAACTCGGTAGGCAGATGCGCATTGACTCATTGAGATCTCATATTGCTCCATGGAAGCTCCCAGCATGGCCTCACCGTGGACGCGTGCTGAGAGACATGCGGAGTGCATGGATTGAGTGGGGGCAGAAGCAACGGTTGCACCCCCGTGTCACGCGTCGTCTCCGGTCCGTCCTCCAGCTAGAAGTCTAGTTTATGAAGCTTCGGGGGCCCCCGTCGGAGTGGCGCTGCATGGAGGAGCGAATGCAGAACGCTCTTCAGTCAGGCGACACCATCACGTGGGCTGACCGAGATTCGCAGAAAAGCATGGAGCGCCAGTAGAAAGCAGCCCGTGCCTTATTTATTGCATGCCCTCTTGCAAGATTCTAAAACGTGGAAGTTTCAACCAACGTGGGCCCCAAAGGACGTCCTAGTATGGCACGAGGCGCGAGGAAAAGCAGGCCTACCAGAGTTTTTGCTCCACGCCCCTATCCGTCGCAGCAAATCAGCATGTGTGCCTTGGCCAGTCATTTTCCCTTTTGTCAAAAGCACATGGTTTAGCGATGCGGGGAGTGAGTTATGCACGAAGCACCTTCGTAGCTGCATGAGAAGAATTATAGGCCCTTGCCAGACCCCATACGTTCGGCAATGGAGCACCATCGGACGTGCCATTCGAGCTATGGTTGAAATGTCTGGCGTCGTCGAGAGATATTTGATGCGTCGCGTGCAGATGCTGAGTTGCATTCTCTCTTGACCCCCCCTCCTCCTCCTTCTCCTCCTCGGGATGGCAAGTGCCGAAGACGCCGTGCTGAAATGGCTCCCGAATTTCATCTCCCAGCGTTTGACATCGATCAGGCGCTCGAAAGTTGTAGGTCCGAGAATGCGTTGCCCGCGTTTGATCGCACTGCAGCGGCGTTTGAACGCAATCTAGGCTGCTCGAAACTTCCCGCGGCAAAGGGCAATAAGTTTCAGGCGCGCGCGGACGCCATGACCTGGTCTAGGACATGGTGGATTTTTAGCCTTGCTGAAATTCGGCGGGCCCTTCTAGCGGCCACCGCGTTCACCCTTGTATGTGTAGGGAATGCGGTGCTCCAGCTCCTTGGCCTGCGCATGGGCGGGTCTGTCTCGGGCGCCGCCGTGGCAGTCGGATTGGCCGCAGAGGAAGATCAATTCATACAAGACGTAGATCGCCGCGCCAGCCCATGTTTCCCAGAAGGGAGCGCGGAGGAGTTCCAACGTTGCGTTAAATGGATTCGGTATGTAGATGATGCGTTGGCAGGGAGCCATCACTATTGTAATGGTTGCCTCCGCTACCTCTTCGAGCACATGTTTAGCGGACCTGTGTCGGTCGCGTTCGAGTCTCAGAAACCAGGGGCCACGACTGTGTTTGACTGGCTGCCTTTCGAGATCCACAGGTTTGGGAACCGTGTCTCCTGGGTGCTCAAGAATCCGAACAGAGGGCGGCTGCTTCACCACGGCGTTCAGCAGAAAACTTCGATGCGACCATGGCTTGCTCGGTTACCATCGTCGTTTGCTCGTGTTCGGTCGCCTCTACTCAGCCGGATTGCCCTTGCGAGGGACAGCAAGTTGTCGCATTGCACACTGCGGCTGTTGTCTGAGAGCACGCTCTTGAGATGATCCGGAACAGCTACCCCGTCCCGTTCATATCCAAGCTTCTGTATACACTGCCACCCTCTCCCTCAAGTCGCGTGGCTCGCAAGGTTCGGAGTTCGCGAGTCCGCCATCTCGACTCCGCAGCCGGACTTCACCGCGCGATGGGGAAGGGGCCAGATGGCAAAACAAGGCGGGTGGTCGAGGCGCGAAGGAGGCCCCTACAGAGATCGGGACCGCGACCGTCACGTCGACCGCGGGCGTTACGACGGCCGCGGGCGTGACCGTTGCGACGACCGCGGGCGTGATTCTCGGCGCGGCGGAGGCGATCGCGGTCGTCGTCGCAGGGCCGATGCATCGGGCAGCTCCGAGTCCGAAGGGGCCATGATCAAACGGGCGGAGAGGTTCCTGCACAAACAGCGTTGACTACAAGAACTATGTTAATTCCAGGGACCAGGAGTTGAAGGATCAA